ACTATTCGTAGAGTTAATCCGGCTAGCTCGTCGATACCTCGCTACGCAGGGAGTCATGAAGGAACTCTCGCCTGTATTCTTCAACCCGCCGCTCAACGTTAGTTCGGATGAAGATTTGGGAGCCTGGGTTGAGAGTGTGCTGTTGCCGACGGTGTATCATCCGATTGGGACGTGCGCGATGATGCCACGGGAGTTGGGGGGCGTGGTGCATGATGAGTTGCTGGTGTATGGGGTGGAGAGGGTGAGGGTTGTTGATGCGAGTGTTATGCCGATGCTTATTGGGGCGAATACTAGTCAGACGGTTTATGCTGTCGCCGAGAAGGTGAGTGGAAATGTGTGACCTGAGTGTGGAGAGTGTGATGCTGATGTGTGAGATAGGCGGCCGATTTGATTCGAGGGTTACTAAAGAAGAAAGGTCGGTCTTAGTAAAGCTAGCAAAGCGATCAAAGAGTTGCTCTTTCCGACCTCTATAGAAAGGGATAGCCAGGGGAACTGCCTTTGGAGTCAAGCAACCTACCCGTTCTTCTCATATTTGTGCAGTGATGGCGAATAACATCGGTCTTGCGTTCTTGCGTTCAGGGAAATCGAAGCATACCGGACAAAGCTAACCTTAAGAGTGCCTAAAGGAATAGGGTCATTTAAATCTCTTTTAGAGAAGCAGCCATCTGGCCTGGCCTACTATGCCATACTTCATCCACAACTAAGCCACTTTGGTGTTGATTCGTCATATGTAATAGCTTCCCTCTGGAAAGAGCCTCATCTAGAGCCATGTTGCTATGATCAATTGTGCAACCGTCTGCCGTGCATTCGACGCCAACTTGTGAGTAAACCGTCCGTGTAGGCTCGAAGGCGAGGTTACATCCAAGCTAAGAGTCAAAGACAACCCATTGGCTGCCTCTACGTCGTAACAATGAATTTGCTAAGCAAGATCCTGAATTTATAATAAGACAAATTTACGAAAGTAGTAATCTAGGTGTCATGACTTGCTGTTTCAAAGTCGTTGCGGAACCAATTGTAACCTTCACAACGCATACTTGACAACATTTGAATGATCTTGATCCTGGATTGATATTAGCCCTTTCGCTTATCATACAAGTACAATTGGATAAACGGATACCTTGTTATCTCCAATTCGCGATGCACCGTAATCATGCGGGTTTTCATGCCTAGATGCTATTCATTGTCACTCCAATGTCTTCTTAGCATCCTTGTAAAAAGATACTGCCCACCACCATGAGACGGATGCTGATCTCTTGTAAGATAGACACATTCCGCTAAGAACGGCGCCCACTTGCGATGTCGTCCTACTTGGCATCTTTCATTCCATTGAGCAAACCAACCTGATAGCAATTCGCATAAGTAGGGTACTTGTAGAAAACGTAAAAAGTCCTTACGATGTCGGAAACAAGGGGCGCCACCACTATGGCTCTTTACCCTACTACAACTCAAACTCGGCCATTTCTCCTCCCCTTCATCCCACTTATCAAAATCCACATCCAACCCCTTCCACAGCCCATCAAGCAGCTCCTCCCCATAGCTTCCCTCCGCATTTGGTCTCTCCAAATCACAATGGACTGAAATAACCTCCAGTCTCGTGAAGCGTCTCAGATCGACAAGCCCATCACAAGCACGGCCGATGAGCTCGACCTCCCGAATCGCAATACGGCGAAGACACCCATGATCGAGGATCCCAAGATGAGTACTCATCGCTGGATATGTGATTCGAGCTCCTTGATAGGAGGCGAGGGACGACCACTGGAAGTCGGCGGCATCGAGGGCATAGCTGAAGTAGATACGTGAGTCCTCAGGAGAAGATGCGAAGGCGAGGACGTAGATGGCGAGGCCATAGGCGCGTGACTCGGAGGTAATCTGTAGAATTGACGGCGGAGGATGTCGTGAGTAGAAGCGTGCGGTGCGAGGACTCCAATGTATCTTGACAGTCCTCGGCGATATCACGAGGGCCCATATCTGCAAGCGGAGTTCCACGGGGAGGAGATCCAATGAGGCCATTCCGAAATACTACAACGTAGTATGGCCATGCCTGTTTCGCGGCCAGAGAGTGTCACCTCATTGTCCAAACAGGGCACGTGCGAGCTTGTCAGGTGACCCGGATCTACCGTCATTTCCAACTGGGCACGTGCGAGATTATCAGGTGACTGAGGTCAAAAGCCAGTGCGGTGCACTCCTATTTCTACTACCATAGTATTGGCAGCACCAGCATAGGGGTACCTTCGTACAAAGAGCGGTCCACTCCTATTTCTACTATTGGTACTAGAATAGGCTATTTCTGTGACAAGTTACTCGTACAAGTTACAACCTTCGCAGCCTTGTCTTTAGAGTGGTCTGGCCAATCACTTGGACAGGAGACCTCTTTCCTGCCTCCCATTGGTTAAATCCTATGCCGTAATTTTATGTTTTGTTTCCCTGTATGTTGTACGCAATAGTCGTACGTCTTTTCGCTGTCCAACCTTCCAGACTTCCAAGGTGGTGTGTCTTTTACCGTTTACACCATCTGCACCTCCCCAAATACCCCCCCCCCCCCACGTGGAGAAAAGCGGTCCCCTCTGTTTAACAAGTATCGAGAAATTATCGAGAAACTATCGAGAATCCGAGAAAACCAACTCCTCTGACCGGATTCTCGAGGACCCTGCATGAGAGACCCTGCGTTTCCTAGAAATTCCCGTCCTCCGGGCATCGATATATCGTCTCCTCAATCGACATTCAGACAAATGAGAAGGTTGTGTATATACCAGATTAGCGGGGTCTCTGCGGGAGCTTACCTGTCTTCTGGTTCTTTCTCGTCCTGCGCCCTTCTTATCCCTTTGTTCATCTGGCAATGCTCTTGCTATTGGGTGAAGCTGCTCATGCACGACGAGAAGCAGAGGAGAAGTTTGCTGCAGTGCCGCATAGATGACATCATTGACGCTCGACAGAGTCTGGAATAGATGCCCATGGGGCACGATGGCTTGATGTTTTCGGCTCGAGCCTAGCCCCTCGCCGGAAAGAGTAGGTTATATGTAGATCGCCGAGTCTCTATTTCCTGAGACGGAGAACTTCCTTCATACAATTTCGCAATCAAGTCTTGACTAACGAATATTGACTGACAATGCTTTCCAACTTTACGCAGATCCCGGACTTGGAATTTGATCCTTGCTGGATGAACGATGATCAGGTAGGTTCACCTTGAAACAGACTCCAACTTCTGTTCTTTGCACTAATGCTTCCACAGAATTACCCAGATACACTGGCTAGCCCCACAACACCAGAGCTAGATATCGACAGCATGTACACCGAATGGACAGCCAACTCGCCTTCAAAGTGGCAGGAACTTCCTTTCACGGACCCATCACAGCTTTCCGCCTTCGATGAGGGGCTTCAATTTTCGGTTGCGGATGCTCTCTGGGATGGCTTCGAAGGAAACTTTGCTGCCGATTATCAAGTCGTGAGCGTGGGTTCTGCAGGCTTTGGAACTAAGCAAGGACTGAGCAGTCAATCAAAGACTGAAGTGAACGGCTTCAACTTGAACTGGCCACCCCGAAGATCTAATTTATTCGGTAAAGAACCGAAAAGCACCCCTTGCGAAGAGGTCTCGACGGACGAAGAATACCAAGTGACAATCGAGGACTCAGTAGCATCACAAGAGATCCCAAAACCCCGCTCAATAATGAAACGTTCAAAGAAAGACTCCGACTCCAAAAAAGAGCCCAGCCCATCATCCAAACGAGCAAAGCACTCATCCCTATCAAGTTCAGACTCCACCTCCACCCCGAAGATTCGGCGTAGCCCCTCTTCAAGCCCACCTTCTCCATCCGACCTCCGCTCAAATCACAATCTGATCGAGAAGCAATATCGCACACGCCTAAATCTTCAATTTGAATATTTGCTCGAGGTGCTGCCAAAAGGACCGCCTAATGAGAAAAGGGTTGGGAAAGCGGAGGTGCTGACGCATGCGAACAAGTATATACAGGAATTGAGAGAGAGCTTGAAGGTGTCTGAGGAGAAGAACTCCGGGCTTGAGGAAGATGTCAAGGATTTGGAGAGTAGGTGGAATACCCGAGAAGACAAGCCTATTGAGTAGATTTGTCCCATTCAACCAGTCGGTGTTTCGGGATATGTATGGAGTTGAGTCAAGAGATGGAAGCAATTGGCGTTATCTGGCGAGAATTGGAAGGGTTCGAAATGATTTAGGACTAAATAGTTCATCGAACCAGAGTACCCTGCTAGGGACTTCACTAGCCAATATTAATAGATTAGTGGCCCATCTTAAACCTATCCCAAAACCTCGCCTTCTATTCTTGTGGACACTTCGGGTCGAACCCTAAAAAGAAGGAAGTTTTTTGTGCACTCACTTTCATCCTAATCTCCTCCCCGTCCCCTATATACTCTCCCCTCCTAAGACCTAGCCCCCCACCGACCGTTCTCACCGATCTTTCCTCCGACTATAGGTATATATTTATCGTAGGTATGAGCGTCGTGAAAACTGAGGTCTTGATCTTGTGTTCATAACCTTCTACCCCGTCCCCTTCCTACCTCCTCAGCCATCCCACGGTATGCGTTCCGAAACTCGTATAGTAGTTGGTAGGATGAAAATAATAGGCTGATTCGTAGGATTATCGAAGACTCGCTTGGTTGCCATCTTTCTTTATAGAAGAGGGTTTTTCTCATCGACTCGGGATGGTACCTCTGAAATAGTGAAATCTCTGGTCTTTGCGTGAAAACTCTACCTCGAGCGCCGAAACCCCCCTAAACCACAAATTGTGGACTTTGGAAATACTACTAAACTGCCTCAAGAGAGAGAGTAGTAATATCCCAGGTTCGGTCATTGCCCTCCGTGCCTTAGAAGTATAATAGAGTAATGTACGGAGGATCCTCTTATCAGTCTCGCTTATCACTATCAAACTCAAATCCGTCGCATCCCCCCCGTCTACCCTTTCAAAGGAAGACCAACAGACCAAAATAAAGCTAGCAAAACTCCAAAGGAAAAATAGTCCAAAAAGAAACTCCGAATCGGGGAATCGAACCCCGCGCAACCGCGTTCTAAGCCAACTGGATGAGAGGCGGATATGTTACCGATACACCAATTCGGATTTGATTCTGGATGAGGTCAGTAAAAAAAAATATAAAATATATGCTAAGCGCATAATGCCGACAACCATAATGCGACAACGGTAGCTAGAGGGCATCGTAAGACTACATATCCGTATCATCAACGAAACAAAAGCGGAATCATGTAACAGGCATAATCTTAGAGGGATATTCATCATTTCAAGCCTTCAATTATCTACAGCTCATCCCTACTCCTCCTTGTCTCCTTCTCAACCGCCACTTCCTCTTCCCACATCCTCTTCTTCGGATTCCTGGGTTCTTCCTCCTGTGAATCCTCTTCGTGATACTGCCTCGTCCCATCACGGCTACCATCAATCATCTGTCCAACTTTCTCGGATATTGTTCCCGGTGGAGCATATGTTTGTTCTGGGGGTATATTAGGCCCGCTCATAGGGGCTCCTCTGCCACCTCCACCAACTCGTATACTTGGAGCGGGTGGGCCATTGCCTCCTGCTGGCGCGGATAGTTTGCCTGTGGCACTGTTGTGGACTACAGATGACTGTGTCGTTATGGAGCTTGAGACCGCTTCAATATTGGAGGCGCCTCCTATTACTCCAGCTGCAGTCAAGAGACTTGTTGAGGTCCTGAGGACAATCTTCATCGGAAACCATACGAGCCACCAAGTTGGCCCATACAGAAGTCTTCTCCATATCAACCATGCGATGGTTACTAGCAGGATGTAAAACGCAGTTTCTAGATACCATGTATCGCTCTTTTGACTTCGGAGTAAAGTCCCCAATAAGTTCTTAGAGCTCGATAACAACGTGTCCAATGTAGAGTATGTCTCGCCAAGCTGCGCAAGAGCAGCTGTGGATTCTTTTAAAGTGTCATGTGCAAATTGTGATCTAGAAAGCTCAGAAGCCATCATATCGTGCGTCCGCCGTAAAGCAGCAGTAACGTCGCTGCTAGCGTTGACCTCTTTATCCTGGGATGAAGGATCTCTTGACATTTGGTTTCGACGACGACTTTGTATAGGTGAAGCACCTGTCGAAGGGGTTTCGGCCGTATATGGAAGGAGTAATAAGCGTCGTTCTTCGCGCTGCGCGGCTTCTAATGTCCGCCTCGCTGATAGTTGTGCCCTTCGAAAGGCTGTTTGAAGGCTATGAAAGAATGTTAGTCAAAGTTATTGCCTGATAGATTCCGGTGGTCCGGATTGGTGTATCGGTAACATATCTCTCTCTCGTTGTCTCTGAGGCAACTCTGCGGGTTGATTTCCCTAAGTCTGAGTCTTTGAGAGGAGGATATGTTATCAATACACCAATTCGAAAGCATATCCACCAGTTCGGTCTGATACAGCCACTCGCATTTTGCTACGCCAATCCTGTCCTTTCTAGCCTCAAGACTTCACATTAGTTCGCAGATCAACTAGTCCTCACCAAGCAAACCACTTCCAATTCCCTCTTCTCAGGCCCTTCTAGCAAAGGGCCTATTTAAGAATTGAAAAAGAACCAAACTCCAAACGTACCTCATAGCCTCTATCCACCCCCTCCCCACCGCCCCTTCCAACTCCTCCTTCCGTCCCCTCAACTCACTCCCCGCCCTCCCTCCATTCAAATCCAAAGCCTCCTCCCTCAAAATCTCAAAATCCTCCCGTTGCTCCCTCAACAAATGATTGATATCCGCCGTGAGCTCCGCGACCACACCACCCTCCTCATGATCGAGCGGGACAGAGCCAGGCTGGAACTTGATGGTGGCGAGGCGTGTGATGAGTTGGGAGAGTTGGGCATTGGTGTCCTGGAGCGTGGCAAGGCGCGAGGAGACGAGTTCGTAGGACATTTTTGTGTCGGTTTGTGCATGTGTGGTTGAATGTGTCGGGGACAGATTGTATGCCATGAGGTGGTGATGTCGAGTGTCCCTTTCTGCGTCTAAATAATATCCTGAAAGCGAAGGGGAGTGATACATGGTCTTCGTACAATTTAGGTGGTCAATGCGGCCGGACAAGGTTAGCTCGTTACTGTATGTCTTGGCAAGGCTAGGACCAAATATCTCCAGACTTTTGAGCATCGCGACGTCGGCTCGCAATACCCACTCTTCCTTCGCAGCAACCACATAATTGTGATTCCATAGTGTCTTTGGTGAGCAAAAATATCTTCAAGTACCCCAATGGCTCGTCCTCGTTGTCTAATCTTTGCTCCAGTCCTCACTCAACCCGTCAAAATGATCACGACATTCTTGACCGAAGTCAGGACATCCTTCAACCCCTTCCGAACCACTGGAAACGCCGCACGAATATTCCTCTCCTTCCTACCACCAAATGCGCGGCAGACGATGAAGGTTACGACGAAGTTATTGCCTCGAGTATCCAAAGATCCAAGCATAGTCGAGCTGAAATTTAGTGAGCTGTCTTGATGTTATCTTTATGCCGCATATCCCTGACAACTGTTTGCAGAGGATGGGAAAGAGATGAAGCTGGATCCCGAAAAGTTGGGAATCAAGGGCATAATAGAGGAGGTGGATCGACATTCGAGAATATTAGGGCGAGCGGAGGAACTGAACGGAAACTAAGTATTGTACGAATGGAATTCATGTATATCATCGGCATTGGGCTGGCGTTATAGAGGTTTATTGGTTTGGTAAGATCTGAGCAACTGATGCTGCGTATTGAACACATTACACTCCGAGAAACTGTTCTTTTACGCAGTCACGCAGGCACTGCACATAAATAGAGACTAGATGCTCATTGGGAATCAACGATGGATTGAATATAGCTGTGATATATGATCATAATCAAGCCTCCGCGCGATATGTCTCATATATTCCTTTATGGGAGAAATTTTCTACCTAGCCGGCATATGCAATTTTCCAGTCCATGATATAATGCATGTCTTCTCGGTGTGCGCTTAAGCAGCAGCTCCGCTAATGAAGAACCACTTGTCAATGCTTGGGTCAATTGGCGCTGGGGTAACGTTCTCGTTTTGTGGGATTGGTGGAAGTTGGTTGGGGTCAACACGAGCTGGCGATTGCTTGACGGTCAAGTTGGTGCTATGATAGCTCGTTAACATTTAGCTTTGAGCAATGGGTTGGCATGTACTTACGTCGAGACATCACCTGGCTGAGTCTTTCCAGTGATGAGCTTCTCCCAAGCCTCAGCACACTCACGGACGATATCAGTGGCATACCTATGGATGCATTAGTTATTGCCCCCTATATTAAGCTGTGTCGCACTCACTTCTTGTTCTTGCACTCGCCAGTGAAAGCAAATTGGTTCTCTGGCTTTCCATCTGGGATTTTGTAGATCCTGAACCACTCATTTGTGGCTCTTAGAAGACCAGGAAGGTGCCTCTCGACATCCTCAACATCATTGAGCTTTGGTGCTAATGGGTCGTTGACGTCAATGACAATAACCTTCCAGTCAGTCTCCTCCTCATCGAGTAGAGCCATAACACCAAGAATCTTGACCTGCTTGACCTGACCTGGGTATCCGACCAACTCGCCGATCTCGCAGACGTCCAATGGGTCGTTGTCACCCTTGGCCTTGGTCTCGGGGTGAATGACATTGGGGTCCTCCCATGTCTACTTAGTGGTCAGCTTTGAAATCATTGTGCGACATAATTGTCCAGACTCACCTGAGGGAAAGCACCGTAGTTCCAGAGATAGCCTTTGTGGGGGAAGCAGTTGCGAACGAATCGAAGCTTGCCCTTCTTCACATCCTGCTTGCTAAACATCCGAACGTCAGCGTCTGCCTTGCGTGTAGCAGTCCGAAAACTGCAAATCCTTACATTGGGTTCAAGAGTTCCTCCTTGGAGATCTAAGCCATGAAAGTCAGCACTCGATCGATCAAGACAGATTGTTATTGAACGTATCTGCGGGGAAATGATCGTGATGAGGGGTAGCAATGGGAGGATGGAGGGGTCAGACAATCTCCAAATCTTTCACAAACTCACCTCCATCTTGCCATTGGTCCATCTTGGGATCTCCACGACCATGTTCAGGACAGTCTGGTCCTGGTTGGCATAGAGGGGGATGTCGTGGAAGGGCGAGACTGGGACGCCATCCTTCTCGATGTAGATGCGGTGCTCTAAGGTGTTAGGAGCGCCGACCTTTCTGGTCTTGTATTGGGAGGACATATTTGCAGGTGGATGAGATGAAGGAAGAGGAGGAGGAATATGGTTTGAGGGAGACTTGCTCGACGAGAAATGTCGAGCTATTTGTTCGGTGCGGGACGAAATTTTGTTGACTGAAGTGGAGGACGCCAGTGTGGGCGAAGGGGTCGAGCAGTTGGCGAAGCAAATGGGCAGCTGCCGATTGTGGTCAAGGTGGTGCAGTACTTGGGCGGATTTGCGAGGTGGACTTGGCCGTGAGAAAACACCTGCTTCACTCAGGGCTACACGGGTCGAAGGACGAATGAAGGTGTGCATACAGAAGGCCGAAAGAGGAAAAGAAAAAGGGTGACCGGGACATGTACTTATACAACGTTGTAAGCAATTGATCTAGACCGGGACCAGAGGATGGATGGGAGGCACAAGGAGGGTCACATGACTCAGGTGGGGTCACGTGACAGAGAAGTAGGCTCCGAGACTGAGACTCTGAGGGGAGAGATTCTGAGGGGAGAGTCTCGGATTCTGCGATGCCGACAAAGTACGGTCCGCCATTGGTCCAATATGATCGCGCCATTTTACGTTTGTTAAGACCCGTAGGTTGTCCGCAGTACTCCGTACAAGTGGCAAGGTGAAGGTGCTCCGTACGTTGTACAACGTTGAAGGTTGCGAGGTGTTCTTCTTGCCAAAACCTCCCGATAAGATCGATAAGGGCGATAAGGGCGGAAGCGATAGGCTTGTACGGAGGTACAACGTATTTGCTCCGTTCCCTGTGATCCAAATCTTTCTCGACTTCCACTCCTCAGCGATAAGTGACTTTCCTATATTCGTCGACGAGCTACATCCTACACGTCCGTTTCTCCACGTTCCCACCAGCCTTCCCTTCGATGTTATGCAACGCCTCACGTCGGCCATCATGACATCGACTGGGAAAAGAGTGCCAA